ACACACACTGGTGAGGCTGAACATCAGAGCCTGCCACTGTCACTCCAGAGAGCAGAACAGGGTGGTAGCTGTTCAGTCCTCCCTATTTTGGAGAACTATGCCAACCCAGGAAAGATAGGAAATCAAGGTCTATAATTAGTTTTATCTCATTGGAAAGAGCTGGTGTACCATATGTAATATGGGATCTGTAAAATCAGTGAATAAAATGTGTAATTCCTTTATGTGTTACAATGCTTTTTTAATGAACTGTTTCTTGTTTATTTCTAGGAGAGGAAAATAAACAACAAAACCTTTAGTCTTAACTTCCTTTAGTTGACTGTAGAGCACTTGAATTTCTTTTCTGCTAAGTACACTACCTTTCTGAGTCTTTATTTGCTCCATCAGTTAACAGCTCCTTGACTTGTGTTTTGCCATGGCATGGCAGGGCTTTTTCAGGAGGAGTCAGCAGAGCAATGCCACATACTCGTGTCCTCGGCAGAAGAACTGTCTGATCGACCGGACCAGCCGGAACCGCTGCCAGCACTGTCGCCTACAGAAATGCCTTGCCGTGGGGATGTCTCGGGATGGTAAGCGCTGCTAGCTCGGGGCCTGGCTGCCAAAAACTAACACAACGTGTGCTGTGATGGATGGTCAACCAAAAACCATAGCATTTATATGCCAGTTGTGCATTGGGCTGATAGCTGAGATCATCACATGAGTTTCAGATGTTGCTTCATATTTTTCTGTTATATGCTGTATGTTTTTAGATGCTGCTATATACTTAAATATATATAAATATATATAAATCAGGGCATGTACAAAGTTCTTGGATTTATCTTTTTTCCTACTTGCCTATTATGGTTCCCAGCTAAGAGCTTCGTCTCTGGGTCTCTGGTCATTCCTTGAAGATGCTGTTTTTTAGTCTCATGTTAATACTTCCTCTATATATTCATTCCAAATTAAGTGACCTCCTGTAGTTGCAAGTGGTACTGCCTGGTGCATGGGTACAAATCAGAGCTGCTTCCCAGTAGCAACTGAAGTTAAATATGTGTATAATAAATAATGGAAAAAAATGCAAAGAAAAAAATAATGCAGTGTTTTTTTCAAAGATAGAATTCTGAAGAAAAGATGTTCCAGTGCTGTTAAATATTAAGCTCAAAATTGCAGCTCGAGTACTGATGAAAGCCTTCCTCTGCCAAACAGTTGCTTATGTAATTCAGTCAGAACTGGCTTTGCAGCTGAGACTTGCACGCCTCCCCCACAGATGGAATGGAGCTGCCACCACTTACCCATTTGAAGATCTGACTCAGTCTTTTCCCCTGCCACAGTGACAGCAGCACTGCATGTTCTACAAATACATACACATTACTCTAGGTACATGAGGCCTGATCAAGGAGATTGTTCCCAGATTACATTTACTTCTTGAATTACATTGTCTTTATTTTTTTTTATTGGCCATGAGATTAAAAACCTGAAACAGTTGATCATGTAATGACTAGTTCCTCCAACATGTTTGCTTTCCTGTAGAAAAGCAGAAGGCAGTAGTCGCCTTTCTAAAGGATGAAGCTTTTAGAGCTGTTACAGATCTTTGAAATCCCATGCTGCATCCTTGGGAATTCCCTGGAGCTATAACCCAGTTGCTGCTGTCTTACAGCTAATGCTTCCCAAAGTTGTAGTTATGTTGTGGAGACACACACATGCACTTGTGCGCACACTCACACTGGTTTAACAATTACTCATCTACTTAACCTTTTTGCCTGCCACAGAGGCGCTGAGGGCAGGCTGGGTGGTTCTTCTCACGTACTTTAGTCCCAGTCTCAGTAAAGCTTGCTGTTGATACACTGAGACAAACCCCACATTGAACTCCACAGCATGAATGTACAGCTGGTTGGAACTGCACAGTTGTCTCAGGCCAGTGTGTTCTGGTTTAGCTTCTACTTTCCTAGGTAGGGTTTGAATGCTGAAGAGATGCATCGGTCATCCTCAGCAGACATACAAGAGAAAATCTTTCCAGTACAGAAGTGGAAAGTCAATGAATTAAGCTAAACCAGTGACTTCTGATGGTCCATTTCAGTGGCATGTCAAGACAGTCTGTTAAAGAGTAGGTGCTGCAGCTGTGTAGCTGTAACTGAGAACTGGTTCTTAGGTCTGCCCATCCTGCAGGTTTGGGGTTTGTTCTGTATCCTTTCCTATAATGTTGAAAGACTCACGATGAAAAGGTGGTGGTGGATGTGTAGAGATGTAATCTTTTGTGTGTCTGTATTTCAGCTGTAAAGTTTGGTCGAATGTCAAAAAAGCAGAGGGACAGCCTGTACGCCGAGGTGCAGAAACACCGAATGCAGCAGCAGCAGCGGGATCACCAGCAGCAGCCAGGAGAGGCAGAACCACTCACACCAACATACAATATCACCACCAATGGGTTAACAGAGCTACATGATGACCTCAGTAATTACATTGATGGGCATACCCCTGAAGGTAGCAAAGCAGACTCTGCAGTTAGCAGCTTCTACTTAGACATACAGCCTTCTCCAGATCAGTCGGGTCTTGATATTAATGGAATCAAACCAGAACCAATATGTGACTACACACCAGCATCGGGCTTCTTCCCTTATTGTTCTTTTACAAATGGGGAGACCTCTCCAACTGTGTCCATGGCAGAATTAGGTAATGAGAGAGAAAAGCTTCCATTGTAATTGTCTTAACAGTACCCTTTGGATTAAAGTGGCACATGTAGCCAGGTGATAGTGAGAATGCTGCTTCAGTAGAGCCGTGGGCATGGATGGGCATTCTTGTGTGAAGTGCACAGTAGATACCCTGATCTCAGGGCACACGGGGAACTCCTTGCTGCTCTGGACTAAAGCTCCCAGGGGACTGGGTTGATCAGTGTTGCTTTTGCTTTCAGTCTTTGCAATAGAACTCTTGGAATTAAGAAGCTAATTTTTAGTGTTGAGAAAACAGACTGGGCATTTCTTTATTTGCAGATAATTTTTAAACCATTTATCTCATTTTTCATTACGTCAATACTGTTACTCCTAACAAAAAGTGATGATGCTGATTTCCTTCTGCTCTTTACCTGAGAAAAGCACTGGGCTAATCTTAGGGCAGTTCTTGTGACTTACAGAAGAGGATCTAGCCACAGATACTGAAGGACATTTTTGACTGTAGCAAGTTTTGATAATTTCTCTAAGTCTTATAATAACTGCATTAATTAGCACATTTTACTTTAAACTTTTCCCTTAATGATTACACTAGTCCTGAGTTCCACAAGTATGACTTGTCAACAGCTGAAACTGGAGTTTAGAGTGTGCTGTGTGAACTGGTTATAAACAAAGTGGAACAGGACATTAAAGAAGTGGTTTCATGATTCCATTACTTATGTAAGCAGCCAGGCATTTAAAATGTATTCTTAAAACTTGCTGAAGCAACATTTTTTTCTAATTATTTTATTATGAAAACCGAAAAACAGTTCAAAAATCAGGTATTCCACATTAAAATTTTGTGTGGTTTATTTTATATTCTTTTGAGAAATTTTGCAGAGAGGAAGTCACAAGAAGCTTGCTTTTTAAAGTCGTTATGTTGCAGAATGCTGTTCTCTACAATTTGTCCTGACAGCCAAAATATTCTGTCTGGCATCAGTTCAAATAATTTCAGATAGGTAAAAAGGAAAAGAGAATGTCAGGACAAAGGCAACACTACCAGCTTTGTCTCAGTGAAATGATTGCCACTTTTCTCATAGAAGGTATTAAAAAGAGCTACATTAAACTCGCAGGGAAAAAAAAAAATAGGGTTTTTCCTTTGTAGGCCCAGTGTTGAGCTTGGAACACTGGCCTAATGAAGTTTGTCCTGTTGCTTACCTTTATTTACATAGTGCTTCATTTAAACTCTGCACAGCATGATTTGGGTGCCCAGCATTAACATTACTGAACAATGTTTGAAGAATGTTTGTCTGCCAGACGAAGGTTTCAATTTAGAAAGGTGTGGCTGTTCAATGAAAATATTTAGGTGTGTACAGTCCCGAAGTGAGGTGGAGGTTTGTGAATAACATGGGAATATTTCACCTCCTGCATCCTGCCAAGGGCACCAGGATCGTGCTGTCAGCTGCTGCTACCGAGAACAAGTGTTTTAACTACACGCTTGTTAAACAAAAAAAAAAAGTTCTGAAATACATCAAAGCTATGGTGACAAAGTATAAATTATGTTGTGTTCTACCTTACTGATTGCCCAGGCGGCACATATAATCTGCTTTTATTTCATCTATATGTTAAGGACTTTTCAGGTAATATCTTAATCAAACTACTGACAGACATTGGTCCAGCAGTTCCATTTCTGAAGAGCTGGGTTTGATCATTACCAAACAAAGCCAGTTTCACAGAAGACCCAGTACTGCAGTCCCTCAGAATATCTCCATGTTGTAGTGACCACCATTCCTTTTTGGTTTGAGCCTTCATTTTCAGTGGCCAAACAAAGCAGAATTGTGTGAGCCAAGTCCCCAGGCCTCTACTTGTCACATGCTAAAATAGGAGAACATGCCCACCTGAATGGTTAGGGTAGGAAAAAGGTGGTTAAATAAAAGTAGAACTTGGGGATGTAAATTCTATTCAGGCCTTTGAAAGTGTTCCTAGATACTTATGCAAACAGATTTTATTAATAACTATAAATCTGTCTTATGCATCTTTTAATCAAGTATAGCAGCAGAAAATAATTTTATTTGGAATTAAAACATTGTATGGAAATTTTAAATCATATGCAGTAAACTAGATGACTACTCTAAAGCTGAAGGAAAACAACCCCTAGTGTTAGGGATTTTTTAGTATGTTATCTTAATCATCTGGATTATCTAACAGATGTATATTCCTGATATTTTTAAAATTATATTACAATAGGAGAAAGAAAAAGACACTTTTCCCTCCCAGGCGGCCTCGTGGAAGCAGAGTCCTGCTTGAGAGAACGCTAGACAGGTGGTAGCTGTAGTGCCCTGCTGGAAAGCGTTGGCACTGGCGGCTGTGCCTGGCTGGCAGTGCTGTTCTGTGCTGTCCCTGACAGTGTCCTGCGCTCAGCGCGGCCTTGTCCCGGGGCAGCTGTGTGCCCTCGCTCGAGGGGTCCGTCGCCCCGCTTCTTCGCCCAGTTTCCTGCGGCTGCAGCCATGGGGAGCCCGGCCCGGGGCGCGGCTGTCGCCGCCTTGCCGCTGGTCCCCAACTCTGGGTCACCGGCGCCCTCTGCCGGCGGCTGCGGGCGCGGCCGCGGTAAATGGGCGTTAAATGGCTGCGCTCCCGAAGGCCGCTCCCAGGAAACTCAAACCAAAGCGGTTTTCTCTCAGCTCTCCCTCTCCCCTCCCCGTGTTGCAGCTGAAATATACGAGCTTTTCTCGTGTCTGAAGGTTTAGCTTTGCATTTCTAACGTGTCGCTTTCTGCTCTTTCTTTTAGAACATCTTGCACAGAATATTTCCAAGTCACACATGGAAACTTGCCAGTACTTGAGAGAGGAGTTACAGCAGATAACATGGCAAACTTTTCTGCAGGAAGAAATTGAGAACTATCAGAACAAGGTATAAAAGCATGCCAAGATACGGCATGGTTTCTTTATAGCATGGTATTTCCATAACACACTGCAAAATTCACTTTTTCACTGCTTTCTCCTTACTATCAGGAATGTGTATTTCTGTGTGTTTTAAAAAAAATAATACACTAGAATCAGAAGCAGCCAGATGGTCAGAATATAATTTGCATTTTACAGGTATAGGAAAAGGCAAAGACATTCTCCTAAAATCTGTCTGTGATAAAGAAGGATAGGAAATAATGAGAATTTTTTCAATCCTAATTGGCATGTTATTTTTTTCTCGTAAATTGTAACATCCTGGATCAACAACAACCAAAGCTAAAGCCACCAAGTTTGTGATGTTACATGCTGTGTTTCTGTTTGAGTTTATAAACACAGAGCTTCATCAGATTTCCAGCCTTCTGGGGTCACTGTAATCCTGATTCATGCTCCAGTTGTCCCTCAGTGTTTGGGTTTTACCTGTGGAGCAGCAGCACAGTGCTGCTGTGCCACCAGGGTATTGTAAGATCTAATCAATGTTATTCCCAACATGCCTTCCATCCGCAAGCTGCTACCAATTGGCTACTTTTGGAAAATGGCCTTGGGAAGCACTGCTGAAGCACACTGTTCTTTGAACATATTTTTCATTTCCGCTGAAAAATATTTAACCTTTCAGAGTATAATTTTTTCTACTTTAGGTGATTTCATTCTGCATTATTATCAACACTGGAAAAACTCACTACTTGCACGCCTCCTTTGTGTTATTGTCAAGATGATCTTCATATATGGACATCTTTGTATGTATGCTTTTGAAGATGAGCTAGGTTGATAATTTGCATTCAGTACAAAATAGAGAAGGACATAGGAAAAATATGATTATATGATGCCTTTCTGGGGTAAATTGGCATTTTATTTTCATACAGTGAATAAAGTTCCCACTGAAATGACCAAAATCATTACACTTTGACATTTTTGGCTTATGATAAAAGTACTCCAAGCTGGATCTCTTCTGATATGACTGAAGAAGTCTTCCATGGTTGCATTGTCACTCATCCACATGAGGCTCTGGTTTTGAGGTCAATTCCCCGTGTCTTGTAAGCAGACTGTAGCCAGGAGTGTTGGAAAGAACTCCATTTTGTTGTTTGGTTTTCTTTAGCTCCGTTTTGCTTTCTGACAGTGAGCTTTCCAAAGCTTGGTTAGTAATTTTGGAATTTCTCTTCTCTCTCAAACAGCAAAGGGAGGTAATGTGGCAGTTGTGCGCAGTCAAAATAACAGAAGCTATACAGTATGTAGTGGAATTTGCCAAACGCATTGATGGCTTTATGGAACTGTGTCAAAATGATCAAATTGTGCTTTTAAAAGCAGGTATGTGGGTCAGCTTTAAGGTCTGCTTCTATTAATTTTGTCTGAGAAAGGTGTTACATGTTACATACGGTGGTTGCATACACATATATTCATATTCAGTACAATGATCATTTAAAATTAAATAATGGAAAACCTTGCAGATTTTCTGTCTTTGAAGTAATATCATCTTAGTTATTCTGGGGAAAAGGAGTTCAAGTCTATTAAATTTTCTTTATGGATAAAGGGAGGAGTGAGTGTGTTAAGATGTAAAAAAATGGATTTTTTTTTTTTAATTGGTAATAGTGAAAATTTCAAGGTAAAAATCCAAATTGTTCTATGCAAGATACTGTAGGAGTAATTCAGGTTACAAATACTGAGCCAAATTGTTAAGGCTTGGTGAACATATCTGTAAATGAGCTGCTTTGGCTTCAGAGACTTCATTACTCTAAAAAAATCACTGGAGTTTATTAGCATTAACTAAGTTGCTGTAGCAAAAACTTCTAAAGGGGTTTATGGGAATTCTTGTAATTCTACCAGCAAACCAAACTATGCTCTGTTATACCACAGCAACTTACTGCTCTACTAAACTGACAATGAATGCAGAGCATTGTTTTTAAATCCTCACTTGCTCTTTGCAACTGAAGGCTCTCCCTTCCTTAGTCAAACATCCGTTGTTTCTGTTTTAGGGTCTTTAGAGGTTGTGTTCATCAGAATGTGCCGTGCCTTTGACTCCCAGAACAACACAGTCTACTTTGATGGCAAGTATGCTAGCCCAGAGGTTTTCAAGTCCTTAGGTAAGGAAATGTGAACTGTTGTGTCTTTAACAAAACAAAACAAAACAAAAAACAAACAAACAAACAAAACCAAAAAACCCAGCAAAAAGAAAACCAAAAAAACAACCCCATAAAAAAANAAAGCAAGGGAAAACAGCTGCTTTGAAAAATCAGTCTATAGTATTCAAATAAAAGAGTTGTGGAGCTCAGGCTGCTGTTTTGTAAGCTGCCATGCTGGCTCCATTTGAGGCCAAGCTGATTTCAGGAGGTAAAACAGCTTAACTCTGTGCAGTAAAGGATGTTGGTGCTGAAGTTCAGCATTTTGATTAGAGTAGAGCTGTTTGGACTCACTTGTTGAGAAGCCCATATCTAATATAACATTTCATATATCCTGTTGTAAAAGGCAGCAGATTTTAAGCTAATTTAGGATATATTGATGTTACTGCTTCGAAGACATTAATGGTGTTTTAAAATCTGCCAAGTCCGGTTATTTGCTGGTAAAATACTGTTAATAATTTTTTTAAATTAAACTACATAGAATTTTGATTTTTTTTCCCCATGTGTTTTTGCTGATTTTAAAAGGATCTATTCACTGGGTGTAGGTTTGGGCTGTAAGCCACTTTGGAGGCAATAAAAATACATAAGTGGAGAATGCTGGACAATTACTGAAGTATTCTCTGCCTTTCTAAAACAAGGTACCTCTCAAGGTACAAGGTCAGAGCACAAATAGTTCTGGGTTCTAAGGAAATACAACTTGGATCTGTTACCAGCTGTATCCAGAAGTTTAGGCTGGAGAGGCTGTGGAAAATCCTCTTCTCTGAGGTTGTGATGCTCTTCAGAGCAGGGCTCACTTCAGACTGTACCTGCATGTGTGACAGCAGCAGTAACCTGAATAACACCTGTGTGAGCAAGAGAATGGATGCAAGGAGACAGAGTTCCTCTTCTGCATGAACTATATTCAGTCAGACCTTGGCTTCTCCCTTTGCTTCCTGCATGTCCCTTGTGTGCCTCTCTCTTCCCTCACTCTGTGTGCTCAATAATCTTAAAATCAAAACTTCTTCAGTCCACTGACATGGCAAAGTTCCATTTAGAACAGAAACAAAGAGCAATTTTGAGTTTGAAAATAAATTACTTGAGATTTATTCATATTTACCCCATGAGAACCCAATGTAGAAAAGATACAGTGTGCAAAACTTTCAGAATCTTGGCTGCCAGGATGTGGGAGCTGGGAACTTATGGGAGTGGAGTAATACCCTCAAGGATGAGTGAGATCTCAGTGCCATCACTTCACAGTCCTTAAGGAGAAGATCACCCAATGAAGTGTTTTACATCTCTTTCTCATCTCCATCAGAATAAATCAATAACTCCATAGCACTGATGAAGTTTCAAACAATGTAACAAGAGTTTACCTTCTTTCTGGCAGGTTGTGAAGACTTCATTAGCTTTGTGTTTGAATTTGGAAAAAGTTTATGTTCTATGCACCTGACAGAAGATGAGATAGCTTTGTTTTCTGCGTTTGTTTTAATGTCAGCAGGTAAGAGATGAAGATTTCCTCTAGATTTATTTGGTAGGGGTTGTTTTTATTTTGAGACCTTCTTAATGATAATGTTACAGCTCTCATTGTGGAACTCGCTACCTTTTTGAGTATCTCCTCACCAAATTTTTTATTTTAATAAACACATTAAAACTATGAATTTGGGAACCAGTTTGTTAAATTGAAAATCCTAATCTAAGCCCTTATTTTCCACATTTTCCCTTTATTGAGGACTCAGCTTCTTTGCAAAGGCTTAAATGCATTTGAGTGGGACTCATGAGCCAATCCTGGTGAGACAGGCAGTTCTGAACTCCCAACAGTCAGCTTTCCATGTGTATGAGCTTGCAGCTGCAGCACAACATAACATTTCCAGCATTGCCATTTTAGTGTGACTGGAGACACTGAGAATTGTGGTTCAAGACATCCAAGTTACCCCAAAAGTCAGCCTGGGTCTGCCATGCCTGTGGCTAAAATAAGTTATTAATCACAGGTGAGTGTGCACATTGTCCTTCAGGTCCTGGAAAGGCTTCTTAGGTCAGGTGGAAAAAGGTACTGGGGCAGAAAGTCAGTTTGTGCCTGGCCTGACACCTGAGGAAGGAAACTGTGAGTTCAGACTGCAGCATAGTGGACTTAGGAGCGGTGATGGAAACTTCTGTTAGCAGTAGTGGGTTTATTGAGTCTATCATAAATATGTTCTCATACTGTTGGCCAGGCAGGAAGTGTGTTAGCCCTGTGTTTTAGCAAGCTACAGAACCCTGCAGTTCTGTCACACCAGGAAGGTGGCAGCTAATTAACCACCAGGTGGTGGCTGTTTTTCTGCCAGGAGGTTCAGCTGCTTTTTTTTTTTAATAGCTGAATCTTTACATCTGATTTTTCTGTCAGTCACTGTAAGATCTGTAAGTTCTGTAAGATCCTAGCAAGAAGATCCTCTCCAACTAGTTGTTCATTATATGATCTATTCGTTTCCCAGTAAAATATTGCTGGCCTTATTTAACACCCTGCATTTTACAGATTTTCTTAGCAAATGAATAATAGGTCTTACTCAGATGCATTGCATTCTCCTAAATAAGGGTTTTATAAAAGTAACTTTAAGTGCATGTAATAAATATATTTCAAATCCTATTAATTTTGAAGCCCATTTTCTATATGAAAGTATATCACAACTGGAAAGAAGGTTGAAACAGGAAAAACGAATGTGTAACAGACTTAGTACTTCCTGATGCGCTGTGATCCATGTGTGCATTACTAGAGGTCTTAACTCCATTTATATTCAGATCGCTCATGGCTTCAGGAGAAAGTAAAAATTGAAAAACTCCAACAGAAGATCCAGCTAGCACTTCAGCACGTCCTACAGAAGAACCACCGAGAAGATGGAATTCTAACAAAGGTAAGTAATCCTGTGCCATGTCACAGGCTTGTGAAAGGGTGGCTTCATCTGAACACTGCCCTGATTATTCGGTTGAACCTAGTTACTTAAACCTAGAAGAGGTGAAATTATGATGTTCTAGGAAACAAGGTTGATAATGGTCTGAAAGGGAGTATTTGTATGTGAAACTTGATGAAAAGTGATGAAGGTTTTTATGATAGTTCTCCTCACAGCACTCCTGCCACACAGAGTACCATTTCAGTGCTACAACATGCATGCCTTAGTATTTGTGGAGTATCAGCCTGCATGATAGTTAAGTTGTTATAACATGCAACACACAAAATAAACTTCTTTTTCAGACTTCTGTAAGAAGTTCTCTACACAGCCTTTTTTTCTCAGTTCTTCCAAATAATAATGGCTAGGAAAAAGAGGCACTACCGTATCTTCATGTAATTACTCAGACACGGGAAACTGGTGTGATGTTACAAGTAAATTTGAAGAACTGGGGAAATATAGGCACTTTACTTTTAGCTTGCAGAGGTGGCTCCTTTTCCTCTGCACAGCCAGAGCTTATGCTTCGTTTCGCATCACAGAATTACTTGCAATAGAAGCAGGATGGTCCAACCTGGGCTCTGCAGATTTTCTTAATTTCAAATCCTAGCTCATGTAATTTTCTCTCAGTGTACACTTTGGATACCTTTGTCAGAAAAAAGAGTCTTCCATATGCTTTGATACAAATACTTTACTCAGTAACTTGAGGGAGTACCCTCATATTTTTGAAGTACATATTTTTGACCTTAATTTGAATTAAGGTAAATAAGTCTAATCTATTGCACTGCCAGTTCCCTCCATAATATTCAGAATGGGTTTAAAAGCATTTGGGATTGCCTTCTTCCAAGAGGATCATTTTTTGAGTGAAGATTCAGCCCTGAAATACTTGTTTTTCAATCCAGCAAGGAAACCTAATGCCACATTTTCCTAAGAACTTAAAAAAGATTATTTCACAAATAATCTTGTGTCCGTTACTTAAATACTTCCAGCAAATACCTATGACTGTGCATCTGAAATTTCCTTGTTAAGTTAATAATTTGGTTTGGGAGAGCTTTAATCCTTACAGCAAGATTGGGAGGCCTGGTTCCATGTATGACCATGTGACTTGTGTTCATTTTTTTACAGTTAATATGCAAAGTGTCTACTTTAAGAGCACTGTGTGGACGACATACAGAAAAGCTTATGGCATTTAAAGCAATATACCCAGACATTGTGCGACTTCATTTTCCTCCACTTTACAAGGAGTTGTTCACTTCAGAGTTTGAGCCAGCAATGCAGATTGATGGGTAAACGTTGTCACCTAAGCACTTCTAGAATGTCTGAAGTACAAACATTAAAACAAAAGAAAGAAAAAAAAAAAAAGGAAAAAAANAAAAAAAAAAAAAGGAAAAAAAAAGAAAGAAAACCAAGACACTTTATATGGCCCTGCACAGACCTAGGGAGCCAACACACTGCACATCTCTTGGCAGTCGGGGTCAGGCGAAGGATGGGAAACAATGAAACAAAGTTGAACTTGTTTTTCTCATGCATATGATTTCCATTATGCCTACAAATATGGACCCTTTTTCTGTCTCAACTTCTCAATCTTTGACCTCTGTTTACACAGACTGAGGGTACTAATGTCAGAAGGTTGTTTTCTCCTGTAGTTCACTGCCCAGACTTTTGACAGAACAATCAATTTGTTGGTCAGAACAGAGTCCACCTAGTAATCAGCGACTGGTGTGCATTGCAGAGATTTCAGCATCAGTTTGCACAACTTGCTCATTGTTTCATGAAGGACGATTTTTTTTCACCTACCACTGTTTGCCAGTAGACAGAACGGCATGAAAAGGGTCCATAGCAATAGCAACAATAGCATTATAATATATTACAGGGTAAATGGGCATGAAGACTATATATAGCAAAAGAGATATTGTTTATATATTGTTTTAATTAATATAAAATGTAGTTACTGGTATAGCTTTTCTTGTTGAATTGATAAGGCACTTTCATTTTGCACCTTTTTCTTTAAATTAAATGCTAGCGTGTTCATTGTTGTGTTGCATGTGCACCAGAAATTCAAGTTTAACTGAAAAAGGTTTGGCAGGTACTGGTACATTGGGAGGTATTTATGCTGCTGTTTTCCATGTTACTTTTAAAGAGAGGCTGGTCATATCCTGAAATGGTTAGAGATTTTTTTAAAGAGTTGAAAATAATGACAATTTTCTACATTAAAATAATCTTTTCAGAAGTTAAATTCAAAGGTACTTTTATTTTCAAGTCTTTCAAACCTGAATGTTTCAAAGTCAAAAGCCTCATTTTCAAAGTTTCTGAATTTCCAATGTCAGAGTTGAACTAATTAATTACAGATCATTTACAAATTAGTAACACAGAATCTTTGAAAATTGGGCTATTAAATAGTGTATTCCTGCCCACCATAAATCCAGGTTTGAAAGTATTTATTCAATTCTGTATGTACAGTAAAAGTACGTGTGTATGACATGCTTGTGGAAAAGTAATTTTTACATGTAATATTACATACTTTTGTACTCCATATCGTAAACAATGCCTTCAAATGCCAAGGTGTAGCCTATCAAAATCCATAGGTTTGTGTTTGACTTCAGTGAGGTGAGACACACTGACCCCTGTTGTTCCAGCAGCCAGCAGTTCAGTTTCAGGGAGCTGAGCATAGAAGTCTGTTCTCTCCTTGTTTAAAAAGATGCACTTTAAAGTTGATCAGATGGGGACAGACAAGAAAGGAAAGGCACACTGTTGCTAAAAAACATTAGTTTGTACTCAGTACTAGCCTGGAAATCATTAATATGAGAAACCTGCATTCTGTAATTCTGATTCCTGTGTTGCATAACCAACCAATAAGCTGAATCTTGCAGTGTTATTAATTACCATTCGCTTCAGGAAGAATTCTATCTCTGAGCAAAGCTGGCAGTAAATGTAGTTCTGAAGGAAGCAGATTCACATAAACAACATCACAAACTGTGGCTGTTTGAGCCAGAGGTGTATAATTGGGTTTGGATGAGATGAAGATGTATTAACTGGATGCCCTATAGGCCATCACAAATTGAGTTTTGATGAAGTACCTAAGAAAAAGCTGGGAACATCAAAAAATGAAAAAGAATGAGACAGAATGTGCCCTATTGCTAACTTCCTAGGGTAAACAATCTCTTATATATGTTACAGTTGCTGAGAAGTAACAAGTCAATAGATGCACACCAAAACCTAAGTATTTTAAAAGGAAATTCAGATCAGCGGGTTCTTATTAGCAAACTACAGGTTTATTCTATGATTTGAACATGTTTCCTTTGGGGTCAAATAGAAACATTTATTTATGACACTTATTGTAGATGTTCCAGTCTAGCACATCAGGAAAGGTTACAGCTATCACTCATCTAGGTTTTGAAAGGAGGGCGAGAGCAGAGCATCACATTCCTCCTCAGAGCAGTGTGCCACGGCGCGTGGGAGGGGAACACCTGCAGCGCTGTGAGCACTGGGATGGAGGCAGGAGAGGGCTTTTGGAAAAAGTCCATTGAGCTGTCTTTTTCCTGCTCCATCCTGCCTGCTCCTGAAGAGGTGGCTCACAGCCCAGCACATGCTCTCTCCACTCCCACTGTAACACTTTTCCTAGGATCATTGTTTACTTTATTGGAGTAACTGGCATGATATGGTACTTGCATTCTAATGTGTATTCCTATTTTTGAAGCACCTCTTTAAACTAACAAATGTTTTCTGAATGTGACCAGCCTTAGGTGCTAGTCCTGTAAAGATCAACTAAACTTAATCTCAGTGTCAACTAATGAATAGTGAAGTAAGACCTTACTTTTTCAGAAAGTGAGATACACCTCCTACTTCTGACAATGTAGACTACCAGGCAAAATATGGGGATTAGTTTTCAGTCATGTCCTGTTCTTACCTTTTCATGATGAATATTAGTATTTTACCAGGTATCTAGATGCCAGTGGTTTTGTTTGGAATCTGTTTAGCATATTTGCATTCATAAATCATTGACAATATGAGTCTTGGAGCATTTACTAATAAAATACATACCAATAAAAAGGTTCCAAATAGGACCTTAGCTGAGACTGATCTTCCAGGCCAGAAAGTACTGTTGTTTTTGTTTGTGGGAGCTCATGTGTACTGGGACCTTGTTAAATCAGGCTGAACGTACACAGCCCAAGTAACTCTGCTTTCCTGGTCACAGTTGACAGCCACCTGGCAATAGAGTGTAATTTTTGGGTTGCCCTTCATGGAGAGAAAAAACAGCAGACGCACTGATGAGACATCTGTTGCCAAGGAGGTTTTTATGCAAGGGGACTCAGAATAACACCAGAGTGGCTGATCGGAGATGGCCATGTAAGAATCTAGCACAGCAGAGGAAATGCCCTCTGCAAAAGCCCTGGGACTGTGGCCTGGTATCAGATGATCAACCAGTTAAAAACCACTGGAGGTCAGTGGATATTGACATGAATATTTTCATCATCTGCCCAGTTCACTACAAATAAAAACACTAGGATAGCTGAACATGATATTTTAAGTTTGGATGACCTAGTCCTTAGAGTCTGCAAAGTTATTTTCCTTGGGAGTTACATCTATCCCTACCAATGTTTTCTGGCTTTTTAGGAAGAGCTACTAGACTATACTGTCATATGAACCACCCTAATATGTGTCATCACCTCCAGCATTGTTTGATGTATGGAATTAGGTGAAAAGGGAGGCTGTTTTTAAGTTTGGTTGTTCTTTATTAGCTTATCTTAGTATGAATACCAAGATATCTGTCTATGTGCACCTGTATGTGTGTGAGAGAGTCCATTGTGTGCACACATGAGTGTATGCGTGGGATGCGTGAGTGGCTGCTTCTAGGCTGTTAAGTGTCAATGGAATAAAGAAAATGTATTCAAAATACTTAAGTCAAAAATAGAAGGTGGTAAAAAGATTTATTCTATACAAAGCCTTGTCTGGACCACTTTAGAGAGACTTCTATTTTTTTAACCCTTCTATAAATGTTTGATGGCACTTGAAATATTCCTGCAATAAAATGTGATTTGTGTAAACATTAAAAAAAAAGATTTTGTAATGTGAAACAATGAAAGAAAGTAATGTAATTTTTCTAAAAAACAAAAAAAAACCACAAACGAACGAACTTTGTATTATTTTCTTGATGGAATTTGTCTATTTGTCTTTGGAAAACTTTTTATTTCATTGAATGTGCCATAGTAGAGGTGCGTTTTTCTTTTTCTTTCTTGTTTTTTATTTTTACATTTTAGATTAAAGGAATAGCTGTGTTCCGACATTCCAAAATGCAAGATGACATAGCAGTCATGATTAAAAGGTTTGATTAGTAAGCTTCAATCATTGTTGCTTTTTTTGCACATGTTCTTCATTCCTCTACAGTGCAATATGTACATAGAGCACTTGCGGGTGTAACCTTGATCCCTCAGGGAAAAATACATATTTGTACAGGATTTTTTCTTTTGCCTTTTTTCTTTTCTTTCCTTTTGTTCTTTTTTTTTTTTTTTTTTTTTTTTTTTTTTTTTTTTTTTTTTTTTTTTTTTTTTTTTTTTTTTTTTTTTTTTATGAATTTCGATTGAATCACTTGTCTGTTGTTGAGGGGCAGCCAGATAATAATCCTAAACCACTGTCACAAAATATTGATTGTTTAAATTTTGTGCCCTTTTATTATTTAAAAAAGAAAAATAAAAGTTATTTTCTGACAGTTCTTTGTGCTGATTGGTGAAAAAAAGGGTAAATAGATTAAGCACCTTATGATTGACTTAACTGTGAATGACAATCCATCTCGTTATCAACAAGAGAAGCCCTATCATTTTGGAGCTGGGGTTATAAGTCAGAAACTAATGTGCTCAGGGATCTTCTAAAACTTTTCAACAGGGTGGCCAGTACTGCTGGTGGAACAAAATACTTTTTAAAAAAATATGCTAGTATTTCTTCCCTTCCCCCTGCCCCCAGGCACAAGAGAACTGGATTTTTTTTTTTAACTAAATGCTCTATGCGTGCCTCATTCTCTTCCTCGTTCTTGCAGTAGAGCTGCTTTTTGGTTCATATTGTGATTAAAACAGAAGTACTCCAAATCGTGCAAAGATTTTGCAATTATATTTTAGAAAATAAATGCTGACTCACTAAATAAGTGAGTGAAGTTAATTTCAATACCCTCTGAACATTTTTATAATGATAGGACAACTTTTCCAGCTGAAATTCAGTGTTCTGCAATAGGAAGCGGCTTTTTAGTATTTAAATTATTATCAAAGAAAATGAATCAGTTCATGAGAATACAGAAAGAATGAAAAGGTCATGGTTAGTTCTCATCAGCCAAGTCACACAGAAAAGAGCACACATCTGCAGGAATACAAGAACAACACTTCAAATGTTGTCTGTCGTTATTGCAGATGTTCCATGGTAAAGCCAAAACCTAACTGGAAAGAAACATTGAGGCTGAATAAATTTTCATAACTAGTACATCAAATACAGCAATTCCAAGTGATTTTACAATGGCACCAAACCCAGCAATGTTTAGAAGTCTCCCAGTGCCAAAGTATAGAATGCTTGAAGCCTGTCCCAATTAGCTTTGTTTTATGGCTTCACATTCTTCTGAAAATGCAAGTAAACTACGAATAAAATGAGCAAGACTGCAACACCTTGGTTACATTGGAAAGAGAGTGAATTTGATTTCTCCATCCAATGTGTCTGCTTGGAGAAAGCCCCAGTTTTCTGGTATTTTTGAGGGGTTTTTTTCCCACGGGTATACAGCTACCAGCCTCCCTATTTATTAATAAAGAGGGAAACCATACTTACAGTTTCACAAGCTGACAGCTGAGTTTAGCTTGGAATGGCTTCCCAAGGCAGACTAGTGCTTAGCAAGTGTGATAGTTGGTGTTCTGGCATCTTCAGCAGGAGAGAATTCCTACTGCTGATTGACAGCAGACCCTGTTCTTTACACACTTGCACATCAATTAAACACTCTTAGAACAGACAACCAATAAGATGTTTCAACTGTGTAGTGGGATGATCCAAGCATTACAGTATCTTTTTTTGGATTGGCATAGACAATCCCCAGTCTGTACTTGATGAACAAAACAAGTTAAACAGTGTAAGCTGTGCAAGTAACATGTATTTTTTCCCTAGACATTCCTAAACTCCTCCATATAGACAAATCCATTAATATAAATGCCAGAAACAGCACTTACTACACAGTATCCAAACATAATAAGCAATTTTCTCTTGAGTATGGAATTCTACCTGTGCTAGCTGATTCAGATTGCACAGAACATCTTTATTTTTCCTAGCTGGAGAAACATAACTATTAGAATTATTTTTAATTATTAATACTAATATTTATCACCTTTAAAGTTACATCCATTAATATATTTGAATATTAGCCTCTTTCTGTTTAAATATTTCTGTCAGTTAATCATATGGTGGAAATGAGGGCAGATGCATACAGATACCAAATACAACAGCAAAAAGTAAAGTTTTAAAATGTAAATGAGTATTTATTTTAAAACCTTGCAGTATGTGCTTTAATTCTAGTACTGTGATAATGGCTTGCTACATAATGCTAAGTCACTGGACTTGAGGAGAAAAATACGTAACATAATATACAGTCTTTCTCTGGAACTTTATTCAGGTAGTAAATAGAATTTTAACATCTAAACAGAAGCTGTATTCTACCTTTTCCATCTATAATGTTGCTGTTTGTACTTTTTTTTATTTTGCCTTTATCATTGGTAGAATATAGCAATAACTTTATAGCAATAAGTAGGCTATCCAAATAAGAAACAAAACATGATAAAGGCTTCAGATCAATACTCATAGGCTCACTTCTGCCACAATATTCACTTGTATGTCTTCCCTCATAACCTTATCATTTCTTTGAGCTGAACTCCACAATCAAGTTGTTCAACTTGATGTGTGACATCACACTTTGTTAACATCTGCATGTTTTCAGTGTTCACATGTCCTATGTATACTTGTGTTCCTATGTTAGTGTTTCTCAAGGTTTCTGAAAGCACAATCTCTATGAGCTATATTTCTGCACAGGGCTCTCTGTGTTGGAATTGACTTAGGTTTCCTGGGGCAGGGAGTGTGAATCAGCTGGAATGACTGGTAGCATTTCCCAGCTGAAGGATCCAAGCTGCTGCAGGTACTTGGGAACTCTCCGGCTGCTGCAAATGCGAAGTGCAGCCCGCAGCCGGCTCTTGCAGCTCCTGCAGGCCGTGGGGCTGAGCTGCAGCTCCCGAGTTCCCTGCCCAGCGCGCTCCTGTAGCCAGCACGAGCACGTGCTCCGCGCTGGAGAGCCTGCACTTGACAAGGAACCGAGCTGGGTGTGCCCGGCCGGGTGTTTGGATCGTGACCTAAACACTTGGGCATCATCCAAACAACCCCTTGTGACTTTCGGTTTGAGAAACACTACCCTGAATTACCCCACAAAGTCTTAATGTAGATGCACAAACTTTACAGGAACTTGCAATCTGTAATGCTATCTATATCTAATGCAGAGAATTCATAAGCAATACAGTGAATTTTATTTCACAAAAAGGCATACGTACTGTACACCTTTTTAAATCCAAAATGTTCCTCATTTCTACATTGATTTAGAAACAAGGTACAGAACAGTGGTCACTATTTGAAGTATTAGGACATTAACTGGCTGCTTCTTTATATGTAACTGTATTGTCTGCCTGCTCCTTTTCTGGAGATGTGTTTTTGTATTGGATGTTTGGGCCAATGGGAGGCTTCAAGCTACAATGTATTTTCCCAGATTAAATATATTTAACATATGACAAACCCCAGACAAGGCTTTTTAAAATGTATAAAGAACTGCAGTGTTAGGTGGTTTATTTGCAAACTGTTTTCAATGTTGTCCATTTTTATGGCACCTTTAACAATATTCTTGTTTCCAAAGTACAAAAAAAAAAAAAAA